GTACATAAACTAGACAATCCTCTAGTTGTAGAAGTTTCCAGCAGCAAATTCATAACTGTTAGCGATTGCATTAAAAACATCGTCATCAACTTGAATGGGAATAAATTTCACAAGGAGTTGTTGCCCATTAAGTTGAACAGTTTCAACATTGTATTGCGAATGAATTGGCTTAGTGCAAATGGTGTTGAGATACTATGTAGAAAGAAGATGGTGAGAGTAAACCCACCTAGAAAAGAGTCATTTATGGTGTATGGGGACAAACGTAGAGTGAATTTTGGAATCATTTCCCTGATGAAAGCCAAAAAATGTTTGCCTAAAGGATGCACATCATACTTGGTATTTGTGATCAATGCAAAGAAGGAGAAGAGGGGGATACAAAGAATACCAGTGGTGTGTGACTATCCGGAAGTCTTTCCTGAAGATATTACTGGATTGCCCCCTGATTGACAAGTGTAGATTCAAATAGACTTGTTACCAGGATCAACAACAATAGTGAAAGCACCATACTGATTAGCACCGACATAGATGAAGGAGCTTATGATCTAACTTAAGAAGTTGTTGGACTATGGTTTCATTAGACGTAGTTAATCACCCTGAGGAGCTCCGGTGTTATTCGTGAAGAAGAAAGATGGAAGCATGAGGATGTGCATAGAATATAGAGAGTTGAATAAGGCAACGGTGAAAAACAAGTACCCATTGCTAAGGATTGATGATCTTTTCGATCAGATGCAAGGTTTGAGATATTTCTCAAAGATCGATTTTTGGTCACGATATCATCAGCTTAAAGTGAGAGAGCAAGATATTGAGAAAACCGCATTCAGAACAAGGTATAGACACTATGAGTTCTTGGTTATGTCATTTGGACTAACCAATGCTCCAACAACATTTATGGATTTGATGAACAAGGTTTGTAAACCATTCCTTGATAAATCTGCGATAGTGTTCATAGATTACATTCTGATTTACTCAAAGAGCCAGCAAGAGCATTGCAAGCACATGCGAGAAGTGTTAGAAGTTTTTTAGAAGGAAAAGTTGTTTGCAAAGTTCTCCAAAATTGATTTTAGGATTCGAGAAGTCCAATTCTTGGGTCATATGGTTAACCAAGAAGGAATAATCGTTGACCCAACAAAGATTGAAGCTGTGATGAAGTGGGAATGACCAAAAAGTCCCACTAAGATTCGTAGCCTTCTGGAATTAGCTGGATATTACCGAAGATTTATCCAAGGCTTTTCTTCAATAGTTGCTCCATTGACAGCTTTGAATCATAAATGAGCTACATATACATGGAGCGAGAAACATGAAGAAGCATTCGAGAAATTAAAGAAGAAGTTGTGTGAAGCACCAATTCATTCTTTACCTGATGGAGTTGAGGACTTCGCAATCTATAGCGATACATCTAGAGTTGGGTTAGTTTGTGTTCTGACCCAGAGAGATAATGTGATAGCATGTGCATCTCTACAACTGAAAGAGCATGCAAAGAACTACCCCACTCATGATCAGGAGTTGGAAATGATAGTATTCACATTAAAGCTATGGAGGCATTATGTTTACATCACGAAGTGCAAATGTTTCACTGATCATAAGAGTCTCCAGTATCTCTTTAATCAGAAGGAAATGAATAAGAGACAACAACACTGGCTAAAGTTACTCATAGATTATGACTGTGAGATACTTTACCACCCTGGTAAAGCAAATGTCGTAGCTAATGCTCTAAGTCAAAAAGTAAACCTGGAAAGAAAAAGGCCATGAACGTTAAGAATAGAAGTTGTCTCAACGATTGTGGAAAGCATTAAGAAAGCTCAAGAAGAAGCTTTGGAGAAAAATGATCGAAAGGAGGATTGTTTAGGACGTTGGTATTTGGTACAAATAGTCAAGGGTTGAAGGTATTCCAAGATAGAATTTGGCTACCTAAGATAGGAGGAATAAAGGATCTTTTGATGGAAGAAGCTCACAAGACCATCTAATCAATTCATCTCGACAACACTAAGATGTATATGGATCTACAACTTTACTATTGGTGGCCAACGATGAAGCTCGATGTTGCAAAGTATATGGAAAAGTGTGTAACATGTGCAAAATTTAAAGCAAAACATCAGATTCATATGGGAGTTTAGAACCATTACATGTACCCATGGGGAAATAGGAAGACATCACCATGGATCTTGTGACTAAATTCCCCAGGACAAAGAAAGGTCATGACATGATTTGGGTAGTCATGGATTGATTCACAAAGATTGCACCCTTCATGGCAGCCAATGAGAGGTGGTTTATGGATAAGCTTGTGAATGCTTATGTAAAGGAGGTAGTAAGGCTTCAGAGTGTTCCTTTAACGATTGTATCAGATCGTGATAGTCGTTTCAGGTCAAGGTTTTGGAGGAGTCTACAAGAGGAAATGGGTATGAAGTTGTGTTTAAGTACAACCTACCATCCGCAGAATGATGGTCAGAGCAAAAGAACAATTCAAACACTAGAAGATATGTTAAGAGAATCTACCCTAGAATTCCAAGGTAACTGGGATGAACACTTACCCCTGGTAGAGTTTTCATATAACAATACCTACCATTCGAGCATTAAGATGACACCTTATCAATTTTTGTATCGACAGAAGTGTCGTACGCCGTCTTGTTGGCTTGAGCTTGGAGAGAAGCAGTTTACGGGCCCCAAGATAGTCCATCAGACTGCTGAAAAGTTAAAAGTAATTAGAGAAAGGATGTTAACAGCTCATGATCTCCAAAAGAGCTATGCTGACAAGAAACGATGAACGATGACATTCGAAGTTGGAGATTCGTTATTGCTCAAAGTCTCACCATGGGAGGGACTTATACGATTTGGAAAAAGAGTAAAGTTGAGTCTAAGGTTTATTGGACCATTCAAGGTTCTTCATAGGATTAGGAACCAATCTTGCAAGTCGGAGTTTCCAGAAGAAGTAGATGGTATTCATAACACCTTCCATGTGTTTTATTTGAGGAAGTTTACGGGAGAAATTCCCGATATAATTCCACTTTCGGGGTTAAGGATGGATGAGAATAAGAGGTTAATCGAAGAGCCTAAGGAAATTGTTGACTGTAAGACAAAGATTTTCGGATGCAAGATGGTGGACTTGGTACTTGTGGAATGGAAACATACTAATGGGCCCAACCATTCCTGGGAAACAGAGAGTGACATGATGAGTCACTATCCACATCTGTTTGCTAATGCATGATTCCGGGACAGAATCATCCTAAGGAGGAGAGATTTATAACGCCTGTGTTTCTAGCTAAGCATTAGTACTCTAATGTAATAGTTAGGGTCAACAACTGTAACTTATTTTGAAGTAGTAAAGAGGAATTACTTCAATATAATGTGATTTATGTGCATTATACTCATTTATGTACGTGGAATCTTGATTAAAGGGCTGCATAGGGTTGTTGGATTTCAGAAGTGATATAATGCCAAAATGGCCCAGCCCATGTATGTACATAGTGGTTGAAAAGTATTGTTTTACACTTATAAAACAAAGATAGTTCATAATTAGTCGTGATAAATATTAGACTAAAATCTAGTGGTAATAATACTAGGTATCGTCGAAGGAAATTATATTGTTAGAAGCGAAACGTTGTCCAAGTTGGAATCACCACTTTAACGAGTGAGTTCATATTTCTTTTCATCTTACACATAGATATCAATTATTTAATATAAATTATGTGTCATTTGTGTATATATATGTGTTCTTGATATCTATACTGGATGAACGATTTATACAAGTTTTAAATGATTTAAAATGTATATGTATTTTATATCTACGACAATGTTAGGTAAAACATGGGTAGATGAAATATTTGATATGTGATGAAATAAAATAATGAGGGGCCTCGATGTTTACGATCCAATCATCTAGCGAAGTATAGATGATGACCACAAACTATTCTAGATAGTCCAGTGGAACTCCATCCCCCTCATGGTTGCCTTATTTGACATAAATTCTTGAGAAATGTTGTCCACCCCGATGAAAATCCTTAGGCTAGGTTCCTTGTAATAAATGCTTTAGGGATGTAAAGTGAGGATAACAGGAATGGGGAATCGGGTTGAATGATTTCATGAAATTAATAAACTTAATTATTGTGGGTTAAAAACTCTATGTGCCCACTAGGCTCCCAAGCCCGATTTTGAGCCTCCATTCTTCTCTCTCCTTCATTCCCCGATGAAGAGCCTCTCCTTTCATATTAAGTAGTTTCTCTGAATAGGAGCTTATTGACCTTCATGAAATTGGGATCTAATGTAGCAGCCATTCTACAGTCGTTTAGACATTTTCCCTCATTCTTCCAAAAGCCATGCGTATAGTTGCACGATTGCTATAACATAAAATAAGAGGCTGTCTACAAACGCCAGATGTCTTTGTATGTTGTATTGAACTAATACCCTTTGAATAACAAACTTCATCTTCTGATAAATCTCCACTCTTATAAACCTCATTTCCCCTGCACAAATCAATTTATTTCGGAAATCAAAACCATATTAGGTTTATACAAATGTAAAATATCAAAAAAAAAGGGGGGGGGGGGATAAAACAACACCTTTTTCGCCAACTATCACATGTTTCTTGAGTTGTAGCCTTTGTGTGCACCCTGTTACCAGGTTTATGAAAATGGGACACATTAACACAGCCAGTTCTCAGCTTATACTTCTTATGATGTGGCCGTTGTCTCACTACCATGGCAGCACTAGCAAAAGATGTAACAGAAGGTGAATATATAGATTTTCATGTCAAAAAAAAACTTACAAGAACAACTAGCGGATCACGAGTAAGAGCATGGACATTGATCATGTTAACAAGAAGCATGTTCCCATCTCGATCTATATATTGTGTTCAATAGAGTCTCATCTCCATCCAGGCATATTTGAGCAACATCAAGTCCAACCTTCACCAAACCACCCTATAAATAAACATATATATGTAAATACTAGTAAACAGTCAAACAAAAGTTTACTAAAGTCAACTTTAGGCTACTTACTGGATTGTTTCAGAGATCCAAAATGTAAGATTCAACACCCTGATTTTCAAATTCACCAATGGCGTGTTTCATATCTGTAGCAGCACTCTGTTTACAAAAGCTTGTTGTTAGATGAATTTAAGATATGAAGTTATAAAGTAAGACTAAGATTTAGAGAATTAATAAGCACCCGGGAGAAGGCTAATAGCTTTACATATCCGGTTTTGGATACATGACCATTTGGTGTTCTATGAGGAATGATGACACTTAATATAGGAGAAAGTCTGATGAATTCCCGGGGTAGTTTCACCTCTCTAAAACTAGAGTCAATGGCCAACTTTTTTCCATGTAGATCAGAAATATGAACATGCACAAATTTCTATAAAACCCTTTTGAAAGGAATCAACCATTCCATTCCTTCCTACCAAACTTAAATGTAAGAAACTTACATTGTGCACTTTGACTGTAACACTTGTCCCAACATAACCTCTAAGCTTTTGTGCAGCAGCTTCACCACTAATCCCTTTAACTCTCTCTCCATTTATTTCAATCAACTCATCTCCTACATGTATTCCAGCTCTAGTAGTTGGGCTACCCTCAACACAGGACAATAAAAACTGAAAAAAAAAATTTTAAATTTTTAAAAAATAAAAAATAAATAAGAATCCATAACTGAGGTCTCAGGTTCAAGTCTCAGCATCACAAACCAGATGACCGGTTTCTGGTTCAGTATTCACAAATAGTCCAACTCCTTGTACGTTTCCATCACTTCCAATTCTAAAACTTTGGTATTCCGTTACAAATCATTGCCGAAAAGAAAATAGAGTAAGTTCCCCCTTTTGGAATCTAGGAGTAAGAATAAGTTACAAAAATGGTTCCAGTTGTTTCTGAATTTTAGTCCAAAACTAAAAACTCTTTTAGAAACCACAGGGACAATTTTTGTAAAAGTAATGGGAAAAGTTGCACCTTTGGACTAATAATGCGAGTGAAGCGATCTCCAAGAGTAGAAAGCATTCCTTTAATCTTGCTGTATGCGGCATCAGCTGTTCTAAGTGGATGCATTTCACCATTGTTTGTTGGAATTTCGAGTCCCAGTCTACAGAAAACACATAAACTTACATTAAACTTATTGACACTAAATGACATAAAACAACAGAAATGAATCATACCTTGATGATTAAAAGTTGGATCAACAAAAGTCTCTCTGATCAAACCCCAAGTCTCTACAAGAGTTCGCTGCACAGCATTCACCTGTTACGAAATCAAATTTTACCAAACCCATATAAGCAATAGATTGAACACCTTATCTGCACAACCCAAACAAACTACTAAAAAAGATGATCGAACTGAACACCTGCCCCATGAGTATGAGAAGCTGGGAATGCTATTGTCAAGGACTCGGTAAGAGCTAGCGAATCTAAACAAACAGCAACTGCAGCAGCGAGCCTGATCAAACCTTTAGATATTGAATCAATCAATTTCTTATTGGATTCAACTGATTCGTTCGAATTTTCCGTGGGTAAAGCTTGAGGTGGTGTTGGTACTTTACACTTGCTATGGTAACCATTGAAACTGGAAGAAGATAATCGGTACTTATAGGGAAAAGTTGAAGAGGTTGGTGTTTGAGGGGTTTTGGTGTAAATTGATGAAAGGGATGAAGAATTACTACGATCAAGATTAGGTTGGCGTAGAGCATCCATGGTAGATACTCTAACTGGGGGATTTAGGGGGTTTGTACATCGTAATCAAAATGAAGGGATTTATGGGGAATGAATGAACAAGTGTAATGGTTGGATTTAGGGGGATTTATGGTAATCCCTAAAAATCGGACCCAAAAATCTCTATATCGGGTTTACAAATACACAAACCACACTTTTTCCAGGTTCAGAAAACCAGAAGGGTGATTAGGATTTTCCAGAGAGAGAGAGAGAGAGAGAGAATGCAGAGGTAGAGAGAATACAGAGCTAGAGATTTGACCCAACATTTATTATACCTGGTAGAGAAGATATAAGGAGGTTTGCTAAACCTTGTCGCAGCCATTAATATCTGTATCCTCACACAGTCACACAGGGAGCAATGATCGATCTCAGAATTCTCACAGGTCTCGTCAATCTGGCCCCTCAGCCAAGAAGAAATCCGATATTGATAAGAAGAAACGAGGCCTCACAGCGAAACCCTAAGGTTTTTCGAATGTTTCTTGATTTTCCATAACAAGATAAAAACAAGCATGGTGTGGACTCACAAGTAAGGATTTAGAGGGGTGAATAGGAGGCTGAGATCATAGAAGCGAAGAATAAAGAAAGGGCAGAGATAGTTAGAGACAACGAGGGAGGGCGGCATACGACAACGACAAACTTCATCATCTTCTTCCACTGCCTGGCGGTGTTTGATTCGCGGCGACGACGTGATTAGGGAAAGAGGGAAACAACCATCGAAATAGAGAAACAAAAGGGGAGAGTTGATTGTGAAGATAAAGAAAAGAAGGTAGAAAAGAAAGGCGGGTTTTCAAAATTTTACGGTTTCGTTTCCCCCGTTATCTTCTCAAGGTGCGTTTCCTTAAAATTATAAAGCGACACCTACAGAAGATGCATGTTTAAGATAAAGCGCCCTTCGTGTTTTTAATTTTTTTTCTTTAGACACTAATTTAAGGGCACGCAAAAATACGTGTCCACTATCCTTCAAATTTTGGAAGTCTGACATTATTTTTAAGGACGCCCAAAAATGGGTAACGTGAATCAGTGAGTGTCATTGTTTGCGCGTCATTAAAGGCTATTTTTCTTGTAGTGCTTCCGGTTCATTCTTACTCATGAACTTGTTTCGGAGGGTGATATTTGATGGGTCCAATTTCAACGACTGGATCCACAATATCCGCATGGTTACCCGTTATAAGGACAAGGAGTATGTTCTCGACAAGGAGATGAAAGAAGTCAATGTCAACACTGCTACTCCCAAACAAATTGCTGCTTACGAAACCCAAGAGCAAGATGCTACGAAGGTTTATTGCACCATGCTCGCAACAACGACTGCTGAACTCTAAAAGTCCTACGAGGACTACTACCCCTACGAGATGCACCAAGATTTGATGGAAAGGTACCATTAAAGTGCTAGGCAGGAATGGTATGAGATCATCATTGCGATGATCACTACTAAAATGAAGGATGCAGAGTCCATTACGGCCCATTTGCAGAATATGTAGAGATACGTGGACCGCTTGTTGAAGTTGAATGTCAACTTCGATGAGGAGCTGCCCATAGATATCATTCTACACTCCTTACCTCCTTGCTACGAGCAGTTTCGTATGACCTACCATATGAACAAGGAGGAAGTCACTCTAAGCAAGCTTCAAGGCCTGCTAAGGACTGTTGAGAGTAGTCTAAAATGCAAATCTATTACATCTACTCCTACTACTATTGCCCCTGTTTTGGCTATTAGGCAAGGAAAAGGAAAGAAGAGGAAGGCTCCTTCTAAGAACCACAAGGGAAAGTCTCACGGTGGTACCTCTTCAAGTAGAACCAAAGTTGGTCATGCTGCTCCCTCTTCCAACCCGAAGGACGTAGAGTGCTTCTACTTCCACGACAAACGGCATTGGAAACGTAGCTGCTCGATGTATCTGTAAGATATCAAGGATGGTAAGATAAAGCCATCCTTCGCACGTATTTATACTATTCAATCTAATAACTCGTCACATGCTATGTCTTGGGTCCTCGATACAGGATGTAGTTTTCACATTTATTCTGATTTGTAGGGTCTATGAAGAAGTAGGGATGTGGAGCATGGGAAGATAAATTTGATCATGGGGAATAGGAAAGTGTCGCCTGTCACAAAGATTGGAGTTTACTCTTTAGTGCTTAGTAGTGGGTTTGGTCTATATTTGAATAATTGTTGCTATTCGTCAGAAATGACACGAAATATTATTTCTTTTCATGGTTTGTATAAACAAGGTTTTAGATTTTTGTTTAATAATGAAAATGGTTCTATTAATGCTTTCTTTAATGGTACTTTCGATTTTGAAGCATTGCCTTGTAATGGTATATATGAAACTGTTATGGTTGTAGACAACTTAGGAAATGATGTGATGCAGATAAATTCTTCCAATAGTGTGGATAAAGCATGCTTGTGGCATTTCTGTCTTGGACATGTCAACAAGAAGTGTATAGCCCAACTCCAAAAGGATGGAGTGTTGGAGACATTCGACCTTAGGGACAATGACACATGTGAGTCTTGTTTACTTGAAAATATTACCAAGTCACCCTTCATTGGTACTAGTGAAAGGGGTGAAGGTTTATTGGATCTCATACATACCAATGTATGTGGGCCTTTTAGATCCACCACAAGGGATGCAAACCGCTTCTATGTGACTTTCACCGATGATTATAGCAGATATGGTATATCTACTTAATCAAATACAAGTCAGAAACCTTTGAAAAATTCAAAGAGTTTAAGCGAGAAGTGGAGAATCAGCTAGGTAGGAAAATAAGATGCTATGATCCAATCGAGGAAGTGGTTACCTTAGTATTAAATTCCACGACTATCTCCAGGAATGCAGAATTGTTTCGCAATTGACGCCAACTAGGACACTGCAGTTGAACGGTGTGGCTGAGAGGCGCAATCAAACCTTGTTGGACATGGTTTGTTCAATGAAGATTCGTGCTTCATTACCTATCTCCTTTGGGGGTATGCCTTAGAGACTGCCGCCCATATCCTTAATCTAGTCCCGACTAAGAAGGTTTCCAAAACACCTCACGAGATGTGGACAAGGAAAGCTCCCTTGTTGGCACATATCAAGGTTTGGGGTTGTGAGTGTTTCATAGGATGAGAGACTCACAAATAGCTCGAGCCTCAAATTGAGTGGTGTATTTTCATCGGCTATCTGCAGAAGTCCTTTGGATATCACTTCTATAGGCCGAGTGCCAATTATGTCTTCGTTGCAAAGAGAGGGGTTTTCCAAGTGCGAGAACTCATAAGCCAAGAGGATAGTAGGAGGAAAATTGATCTTGAATAGATTCAAGAGTCAAACGATGAAGGAACCTCTAACACTGGCGCTCAACCTGAGGAGGAAACTCCTGTTGAACCGATTGACGAATCCCTACCTCTTAGATGTTCCAATAGAGTTAGTGTTCCACCCATATTATATGGTTTCCATCTAACTACTGAGGGTGATATATTTATTAGTGATAGTACACTAGTAAAATTAGATGAACCTAACACCTATAAGGAAGCCATGGTAGGCCTGGAGTCTACGAAATGGAAAGAGGCTATGGACACCAAGATTCAGTCCATGTATGAAAATAAAGTTTGTAAATTGGTTGACAATGTTTAAGGTCGTAATAAGGTCACGTGCAAGTCGATCCTTAAGAAGAAGACCGACATGGATGGGAAAGTACACACGTATAAGGTGCAATTGGTTGTGAAGGGCTTTACTTAAACTCCCGGAGTTGACTATGATGAGACCATCTCATCAGTTGTGAAGATTAAATCTATAAGGGTGATGCTAGTCATAGGTGCATTTCATGACTATAAAATATGGTAGATGGATGTCAAAAATGCTTTCCTTAATAGTAAGTTAGCTGAATATATTTACATGAGTCAACCAGAGGGTTTTGTCAATGTAGAGCACCCTAATAGAGTGTGTAAGCTTGAGAAAGCCATTTATGGATTGAAACAAGCATCTCGCAGATGGAACCTTTTTTTCGATGAGAAAGTCACAGAGTTTGGTTTTTCGAGAAGCAAGGATGAGTCATGTGTATATGTCAAAACCAGTGGGAGTATAGTTAGCTTTCTCGTATTGTATGGGGACGACATACTACTCATAGGAAATGACGTCTCAACCCTGCAGGAGGTTAATTTCTGACTTGGGAAGTGCTTTGCTACGAAGGACCTCATAAAAGTTACTTATATTCTAGGGATAAGGATTTTGAGAAATAGGAGTAAGAGAGTAATAGGACTTAGTCAAAGTAATTACTTGGATAAAGTGTTGAAATGTTTCAGCATGGAAAATTCCAAGAAAGGGGAGTTACCAATTCAAAGCAATACCAAGTTAAGTAAGACTCAAAGTCCGAGTACCGATGCCGAGATAGTAGAGTACCTTATGCTTCCGCAGTTGGATTATGATGAAACGTTCTCACCGGTGGCAAGGATATAAACAATACGATTGATCCTCACATTAGCAGACCTGTTTACCAAAGCTCTTCCAGCAGCTCGTTTTGAATATCTTCGTGCAAAGATTGGTGTTGATACCTTTGAATCAAAGGGGAGTGTTGAAGACTGATTCAAAGTTTCTCAGAAAAATAATAACTCTCGTGACTGGCTTAGTAACTGCTAGAAGTCTTTCATTTTTTTTTGCATTTACTTAAGTCCTTCCATATTTCCAACTTTTACTTTTTAGTTGTAAAAATCTACTATTTATAGCTGCCTTCTATTATCTTTTTGTTCATCAATAATATCACGAGAGTTCCACTGCACTTCTTTTTCATTCTGTTAAGATCCAACAATATAACCTAATCCAACAATGGAAATTAGGAGTGGATGACAAATCTAGTAATCGATTGAATGATCTTCTCTCGCCTTCTTGCTTCTGCCCACTGCCTTGCCTTTCGCGTGTGGACTACCGATCTAACTATCTTTTCCTTTGCATTTGAGCTTGATTAATGAATGTACATATAAAAAAAAATTGGGCCAATGAAAAAAAGGCCCTGTGCAT